GTATCAAGTTTGATAAACGCCATTTTAGTCACGAATTTTAATTAGCCACGAGTGAGCTTGTAAGCGAGTGTTTAATTAAATGAGTGTCTTAAAAAGTTTATAAACGAGTTGCATACTGTCTTTTTCTATGACAAAAACTTATTATTAGCTGAAATTTATTTAAATTAAATATTTGTATAGAGCGACATCTATAAAACAATATAGTAACCATTCTTGGGAATCTGAATTACCGGCGCACCGGTGAAAATGTCAATGTCATAAATAAACTAACCACCGTTTAAATCTATATACTCTATGGTTTAAATCCGATATAGAAGCAGTTTTTACAGTGAAAGTGAAGAATATGTTTTATGGGAACTCCACGGTGCAGTCTTTACCCGATTTTTTTTTAAGTTAAATCTATTTTAATGCCGGCGAAATTAAATACATTCTTTATACAAGCTTTTTAAATATTGACGTTGAGAAACTATTTAATACTTATAATACTAATAATTTTAACTGTTAGTAAAATTTTAGAAGAAGGGCACTTTATTTTAACAATTGTATGACATTTGACAACTGTCAGCTAACTTAAAACTAACTTAAGCCCGTGACTAAAAACCTGTTGCTTACTTCACCCCGTGACTAAAACGCCATAAAGCGTTTTAAAGGTGGGAGTGGAAAAAATAAATATTTTAAAGCAAGTTTTTAAATTCTTCTAAGAATAAGAATTTAATTATCTACTATCAAACAGGATGTTACCGGAATAAGTACAATTACTGGTGCTTATCATGAAGCAAAAAGTTTTTATAAATTTATTTTTATGGTCTTGCATTGTGTTAGAGATACAAGTTGTTTTTTTAATTTTATTGTTTTTTAATACTTTTAAGAATGCATTGTAAAGCATGCCTTTTAAGGTTTTAAATTAAAATGTGACTAGAAACGGTTGTTATTTAAATCACTATAATGTGTTCTATATAAACATGAACTTTCGATGGGCTACCAAGTATCCTTCTATGTATTTTTTTTGTGCTACAAGGTCGGTTAAAATATTGAAAAATTACCTTATTACAAGTCTATTAAAATGACAGTTAACAATTGGAGAATAAAATCAGCCTTTCTTAAATATTAAAAAAACATGTAAAAAACAAAAATCATTATATATAACGTTATAGTTATGACTGCGTTACTCCTGGGAATGTTTACCATTTAACCATACACATTTTCATCCAATTTTTCGCCTACTAGATTGTGAGTCACCACCACCATCTTTTGTTTCTCCTATGGCCACCATACTGGAATGTTACATGGTTAGATGGGAATCCAACGATGTATCAAACTAAACTAAGTTATGGCAGCCATTATAAAAACAAAAAATAATGGTAATTTAAAATATGGTAGCGAAGAAAATAAATTAAAATGTAGATTAATATGTATGTATAGATTAATATGTATGTATGTAAAACTTTTTGGTTTTTGGATTAGTTTTTTTAAACATTTTGAGGACCGCTGGCTTTTTTGGCAATTTATAAATAAAAAATATCCATACCCAAGTATTATACTATAATAAATATAGAAGGATACTATATTACCAAAATATTGTTTTTGGAAGAAATAGTATTTTGGCGATAAAACAAATCAAAATATATATAAAATTTTACAGATAAAATAAATAAATCGATTTTCAAGTGGGCCACGTAAAATGTTGACCCTATTAACAAAAATCAAGAAATATTTTTTTTAACTTTTAAACCGACTACATACTTACTATTTTATAAAAAAATCTACCGCTGTCTCTCCGTGATTTTAAATAGCTTAAAGTAAGTTAATAAATTATATTTTAAGGTTATTTATCGTTTAAATTAATAGTTTGTCTACAATGCTTTTATTTTAATAAATAAATGAATGGTATACCATTCAATGTATACAAATAGACCGTGTTCTAGATTAATGTGAAAGGCTAACTTACCAACGTTAAACCAAATAAAATCTTTAAAATTTAAGAGCAAGCGAGCTCGTGAGATACAAAATAAAAAAATGGCGTATGAAAACATATGTAACTTTAAACATTATTTTCTTGAATTCTGTACCTACTGAAAAAAAAACTTGAAATTATTTGTTAATGTGTTTGATGCCTCACAAAATTATATGAAATTTAGAAGACATTTAATAAAAACTTTTCAAATGAATTTAATAGCTGAAGCACCGATCTTTAATTAAATTTAGTTTTATTGGTTTAACGTAAATCGGGTAGCCCTTGAATTAAGTCATGAACCAAAAATTTTAAACGTATTACATAATACAAAAAATACAATTTGTGATGGATAATTGATTATTTAATAAAAAGTCTGGACGCTCAATTTCAAGAATCACAAAATATTTCAAATACCTTTTAAAATCCCTTGTAATCCACCTTTGTTATAATAAATTTACTACAAAATTAAAGCATACTAAAAAAATATTTTAGTTAATACTATTGTTTGTAAGCATAAATAAAATAACATAATTTCGTTTGTCAATCTACAAATACCTTTAACTTTAAAATGATAATTTTAAACTGGAAAAGAAAAACATTTAAAATAGAATATAATATATACAGCTTGTTCAGAGTAAAACCGAATATATCTATATATATACAGGGTGTCCCAGAACTCGCGCCACAGAGAAAAAGGGAACGTACCGAAAGTAATTTGAAACACATATTTAAAAATTCAAATTGTCCAACGCAAAGGATAAGGGAGATAATAATAAAAAAACGATAGCCAATCCCAATAGATCACCACAGGGAATTCTTTAAATTGCTAGGATACTTAGGTTGCATTGTTGATAATAAAAAATATGTAAAATATTTGGTCCACTGGAATCCAATTCATTGTAACACTGCTGTCAATCTTTACTCATGTCATTAATATTATATTAGGTTATAAATTAAGTTATTATTGACAATGCTGTCAATCTTTACTTTTGTCATTAATATTGTATTAGGTAATAAATTAAGTTATTATAAATAATGTTTTCCTTGATGATTATACCGAAATGATAACTATTTATGGGGAGCGTGGGCGCAAAAAAAGCTAAATAAAGTACAACTGGTTTGATTTTTTACTTTAAAACATTGGCGTTTTGAAGTATCAGTCATAGATTAATAACCTCATTTTTTTAAAGCTTTTGACAACTTAGTAAATACAGTTGGCAAAAAGATTTTTAAATGTTTTTAAGACAACAATGTTCTATCGTCTCCTAGCAATTTTTAAAGCTCCTACGTTTAACCTAGGCGAGATCTCTCGGTATTGGCTGCCGCTTTTTTGCTCTCATTCGATTACACTATTACCTAGAAATTTTTTATTTTTAAATTTGGCATCTCCATTGCTATCGGCACGCCCCCTTTTTCTCTGTGGCGCGAGTTCTGGGACACCCTGTATATGGGGCGTGGCCTCGCCTCCCTCCAAGGCGCGTCACAGACATGATGAAAGGTCGATTTTCTTTCTTATACGATTCTTATCTGTAATAATTTCTCTTTAAAAATACCACTTTTTTTGGTAATAATTATCTTATTAAATTAAATCTGACTTTTTTAAGTACCCACGATTTTTTAACTAATATTTAAGTTTTATACATTATTTCATTCGGTGATAATTATCAATTGCGCACCATGGTCACTTTTTACCTGCCAGCATTAAAGCCTTTAATTTAAAGGATTATTGTACTATTTTAAAAAAAATACCTAATTTAAGGTAAAAACATTATTTTGTCAATTAATTAATTTAATCCTAATTGAGGTATAAAAAATGGTATTTAGTTATAAATAATTATTATTATTGAGGTATAAAGAAACTATTTATAGTTTAGCATTATTTAATCAATTTAGTTTAAAGATTAATTTGCAAACAATTAGACCTCATTTCGTTAAGCAGTTATTCATAATGGATTTTTGAACAGTGAAAGAAAAAATAGAAATGATTTTGATTTATGGAGAAATAGGCAGGAATCTTAATGATGCTGTTAATATCTTCGCTCAGCGTTTTCCTCATAAAATTCGATCACGTACTTCATTTCACCGTACAGTCAAGCAGTTTACTACAAACGGGAGTGTTCAACCGAAAAAAAGAGTTCGTCGAGCAACAGTCACAGGTGGAAATAATGAAATTAATGTATTAGCAGCAACGGCCGGTAATCCTCATGCAAGCACACGAGAAATATCTAGAGATTTGGGAATATCCCAGAGCAGTGTTAGCAGAATATTAAAACGAAATGCGAATAAATAAATGCATTAAAGTCGAAGGCCACCATTTTGAGCACCTACTAATTAAAATTTAAAAAATAAATAAATTTAAAGAAAGTATTTTATTCAAAAATTATTGGAGAATCGTATACAGAAGAAAAATCGAACAAAATCTATTACAAATATGAAAAAATGTTTTAGACAAAATCTACCTATTTTCAGTCGAATGATCCGAATCTACAATAAAAAATAGGGTGTTCCATTGGAAATTTTAAAGTTACCCCTTGTTCCCCCTAGAAGGAGAAGAGTATGAGGACCAATTTTAGTACTGACTGATTGATTTCTCCCCTCGAATCATTTAATTTTTATTTTAAATATTTTTTCGTAAAATGCCTACTAACTGAGATATTTCAAAGTTTTAAGTTAAATGACTCACCCTGTATATATATATATATATAATATATATATATATATATACAGGGTGAGTCATTTAACTTAAAACTTTGATATATTATATATATATATATATATATTATGTAGCATATACATATTGGATACGAATATCTATTGGTTAGAAATACAAGCGAATAAAATGTTAAACAAAATACCCTACAAATTCTTATTTTCTTTGCTATATGCTAAAATTAAATGTCTTTTTTTACAGTGTAAAATTATAATTTTGTCACAATGTAGGTATTCGCAGCTCGACGACGATTTGCATTTGTATGCAAGGTTCAGAGGTAAATGGTATTACTGGTCAACTCTAAAAGCTAATTTGACCCTATGCCATGAATATTACGTAAATGCATTTGCAATACATCTTTTCTTTTGCATTTTCTAGGGCACAATGGACACTGAAAAACTGGATCTTTTCCACATTCATATTGAACATGTCGAACCAAATGTTGCTTCCTCCCGTATTTTTTTCCGCATTGCTGACACGAAAAACCCACTAAAAATAAAAGAATTTAATAAGAAATAAAATACACTTTATTTTTTAATAAATTAGTTACTTACTTATTTAGGTTCACATAGAAATGTTATTAAAGTGTCAATACTACATAGGTACACATAATTTGGACAAGCTTTATTATATATAAAAAGTAATACAAAACTTGACATTATTATTATAAATAAATAAAAACAAAACCATATTGTGAAGTACACCTACGTCTTATTATAATAATATATAATTATATATATTAAGTATCACAATGTAGTAATTAGGTGAACAAACACTTCCACAATAAATAAATTAAGACAAGGTTTTAATTATAATGATTTGAATTTTTCACATGAGTGTTATAATTACTTTTTTGCTTAAACTTTTTTCCACAAATACAAGTAAACTTTGGTTCAATTCCACATTCAAAATTCATATGTCTGATGAGATGGGTTTTTTGTTTATACGAATTGCTGCATTTAGTGCATGGATATCGGCCTAGATGATCTATGGAGTATTTACTAAATCGTTTATTTTGAAGATTCCAGAAATCTAAAAGAAAAATAATTAGAAAAAGGTTTACAATTAGAGGAAGTCTGAGATACTTGGACCGCTTTTTACGTAAAAATTATTTCTGTTGGTCCTATTTGATTTTAGCGATAGTCTTAACTTATGTAATGTATTATATTTCAGTTAAATAATAAAATAAAAAATTCAGACATTACAATGAAAACTGGTGTTTGGTTCAACTACCCTCAACATACGAGCTTAAGAGCTTAAACAGGGACATGGGCAGACTAACCATATTAATTTAATGAACGAAAGTTCATTTTAACATCAAATAGTCAAAAAATGTATTTATACAGAGCACAATAATTTAAAAGAAAACCGAAGATTTTATGCTTAAAGGATATTTTCCTTATATTATATTGACGCTTTCCAAGATTTTATTAAAGGCAATTTTTTATTTACATACAGTTTTTAGGTTTGTAATAAGTAAAAATAGCAAGTAATTCAAGTTTTCCAAATATGTATACTATACATTGTATAGCTTATTTGGGTTTATGCTGCAAAACATATAATGAAAAAGTTGCACCCTACTTTTTTCTACGCCAGAAAACTAAAACTTCAATAATCAATTTTATTTCATTTGTCTACTATTTTTTGGGTAAAAAACAACATTTTTTTTGTTGTACATTGTAATCATATACAACATGTTATACACTCTGGTAATATAATATTAGTAAAAACAGATAAAAGTCACTCGAATGATCCGGATCTGGATTGACAAAAACACATTTTTCTCACTCACTGTATAACCAAACGGCCGACCAAATTTTGAAATACACAAGAAAAAATAAAAAGTAACCAATGATGCGCACAACAGTAATCCACTTATTTTCAATTTAAAATAATAATTAATGCACATTGAGGTCGCAAAACTAACTATTGCTGTTGTCAAAGGAACCCGTGATGTTTTATTAGAAGTTGTATGATTTTAAGTGGCACTGACACTGACATTGACATTGTATATTAAGTTGCATCAATGGTTACTGTATTATTTCTCCGTATACGGTAAGATTCAATTGATTTTTTTCATTAAAATAAAGTACCAGATTGTTATTTTTTTCTTGTTTACTTATTTAAAAAATCACTTTAGGAATTAAAATTCAAACAATTTTAATAATAATAATAATCGTAAAATATATTTATTAAAAAGAAACAAAAAATGTATTACATTTAACAACTAAATCTAAAGCATAATGTAAATAAAGATTGTAAGCATAATTGTAGAGGTACTACAAAATAATACATTGAAATTCATTTATTATTTAGGTATATATTTTGTAAAGTTAATATTAAATATATTATAAATATACAATTTAGACAGACCATTAAGTAATAATTATTTAGGCTAATAATTATTTAGGCTAATGTAAAAATTGCAAAAATAATATTATATAACAAAATAATCCCTTATAAGTATATTTGTAAAATATTTTCCTTAAAATATATTTTTTAATTTACATAATGTACATGCAAAAGACTGGTTAATTATTATTTTTTAATAATATTGAATAAAAATAACATGTAATGTAAAATATATAAACCCCTTATTTAGAAAGAATGTTTAATTTTTTTACAAAAACCAAAAAAGCATTGTCAAATTTTATAAAATAGCATTAACATAGTTTTTTTAAGGAAATATTTTTAGATATTTAGAAACTCGTTATTATTTTATAAATATGTAGTTTTTCAAATAAATACATACACGCTTAATGTAATGCAAGAATCAAAGTATTTATTTTATTTTTTTGTTTTATACCATGAAAGCTGAACAAAAAGTTTTTTGATTTCTTTAAATTTTTGGGAATAAGTTTTTTTCCCAGATATCTTCATTCCTATGCACTCATATCTGTTTTCAAGTTGTTATTCCAGCTTTATTATTATTATTTCTTTTTGGTCATGATTATATAAACTTAATTAGGTAATACGAAATCCGTTACCTTATTTTCTTATCACCAAAAAAGTAACCAACCCTTGGTTATTTTTAAAATCTGTAGGTAATTACTTATAATCGCGAAATAATGTAACATGTAGACTGAATCAGTAATTTATAATTATTTAATATAAATTCCCATTTTAAGTTACTTCTGCGTAATCTATTTTTAATTTCTTCCTTATTTATATTATTCCAAAATTGTAATTTTCATTTTCACTTATATCATTTTCACCTTTTACCCAAACCACTTCAGTTTTTTGTTTAGCTTGATGCACTATGTACATATGAGATTTAAGTGAACCTTTTCTTTTTGTTCTGTACTGGCATCCCACAAGGGGGCAAACGAATCTTGCTTCTTTTCCGCATTCAAATCTTGAATGATTGTAAAGCGACGCCTTGTGTTTGTACACTCTGTTGCAACGTGGACAAGGAAATCCTAAAAATATGTTTAATGTTATTAACTAAATTAATTTAAGTATAAATGCAATTAATCATTAACATAAAGTATTTAATGGTTAATGTTAATGTAAGAAAAGAAAAAACAAAAATCTTGGATAAAATTGTTTTCAAAATGTACCAATTGCACAAAAAATATTAAAATTATTATCCAGCAGATCTGGCTTTTGATTTAATTCAGTTCTTAAACCAAACTTTGGAAAAACCTGGAGCATCCTTAAATGCTTCAAAAGGGGGTTAGAACTTGTCTATATTTTTATTTGAACATGGGTCTTTACGTCATAGCCTAATGGAACAAATGCATCACGAAAGAGATCTCTTGTTATTTTGAAAAAACACTTTCTCCTGGTATAAACTGTTGACACAAATGCATCACATAACCTTGGTAAGCCAATAAGCAAGGAATCTTCAATGAATGCCTATTTAAATGATAAAAAAGTAGTATCTAGTTTACAAATAAATATTTTTTTAATATAAATTATTTCGTTTTTCATTTCGGCCTCTTTGTTTTCCATTATTCGAAGCCTTTATTATGTATTCTTTAAATAAATCTTCTTTTGGGATATAAAATCTATTTCGATCATTAAGGGAAGCTGCAACACAAAAATATTTAGAAAGTAATGCAAATTGGATAAATTATATTCCTTTTTAATGACGTATATTTGTTTATATTCCTTTTTAATGACGCATATTTGTTTATATACTTTTACCCTAAATATCATCTTCAAAAGAAGAATTTTCCAGGCGATGTTCACCTTCTTTAATTCCGTTATAAATAACGATGCTACAATTAACTTAAGTATATTCAATTGCATGTTAAATCATTATTTACCAACTTTACTTACCTAAATCAAACAAAATCTACACATACAAAAACAATGAAATAGCTGCAGCGTTGTTTATTTGTAATTTTAGAGATAAAGAAGGTTTACGACCAATGAGAAAAAAGACAGAATAACGTGGTTAATACAAGTTTTTATTTGTTTTTTGGTATACAACTTTGAAACTCGCCAATTTTAAATTATTTATACCTACTTTTTAAAATAAAAATGTTAGCTTATGTTTCAACAAAACTCTAAATAATAATAATAACTGTTATATTGAACTTAAAAAAAACCTTTCAAATAACATTTATATTTAAAAACAAAGTTAGTGTGCAATCATTGCCCAATTACTGGCCAATCAGTAGAACTAATGTAAATGTCCAATAAATGGCCGGTTATCCGTCCGGTTAAATGCCCAATTATTGGCACATAGCAATAAAAACAAAAATAAATAATAATTTTGCCTCTTCTGTGTGCAATTGACAATCTGATGCTAAATTATAAAATCTTAATTTTTGTTTTATACAGGGTGAATCGGAAGGATCGCACTAAACTCTAGGACTGCATTCTAAACATCAAAATAATAAAATAACTCAACTGTTCTTATCCGATTCTTATTTGTTTTCAAGTTATAGCGAAATTTAAAAAAAATGAAATTTTAAAAAATAAATTATTATCTAATGTTCTTTGAAAAACTATGGAAACAATGTTTTTGTTTCCACAGTTACATATACAGATTGTTTACATTTAAAAGGCCTAAAGGTCAGTGGTATTTTTGTAATTTTCCTGTTTAATTTTTTTTTAAATGCCAAATGGTTTTTATTTATGCCTTTTGTAATGGCAATGCCAAAGCTGCTGTAGAAGAATATCGGCGACGCACTGTGTCGTATTTGACCTGTATAGGTGACCAAAAGTCGATTTCTGAAGTTGCCCTTACAGCAAAAAAATATACATAAAATTGATCATTATGCGTTTCTTGACAATGTACAACCATTTGTTTATTTATAAAATATTAATAAGGACCGTGACGTATAAAATTTTAAAACAATGCACAAACACATTTTTTATATAAATAACTCGCGCTTGGTAAATATGCGATTAAAACTATAAATTATAATTAACAGGAGTTATATTTGGTAGATTGCTTTAAAATAAATGTCTTTTAAGGTATAACGTTAAAAATTAAAAAAATATTTTATTTTATATATAGTAATAGCCGTTCAAATTTTGTCAATTTTTTAACGTGCATTCAAGCAAACTTTTTGCAAATAGTAATGGTGCCCCAGGTTGCCCCAATTTCTTTTGTGTGTGGAAGTGTTTGTTAATATATGAATAATGGTCGTTATTAAGGAATTTGACGGGAAATGTTGAGAAACTTGGCTACACTTGATTTTATGTCAGCTCATTTTTTTAAACTTTTGTCTTTATTTTCCGAGTTTTTTTAAATCTGGCGCCTTAAAATTAATTAAAAACATAAAAATAATAAATATATATTAATTTAAAACTAATTTTTATGGCCAATTGGCTATAAAAATAACTTCTTAACTTTCTTGCTAACAACATCCATTTCAAATACCCAAATTTAGCAATCTAACGGATTTGAGAAAAATGAATGGCAGATGGGGTATCTAAACAGAAAACTTTAACAGGATAAGAGTACAAGTGCGGAATCCCTTTTAGCTCTGCAAAAGGCCATTAAAACATAAAAAAGTACGTAGAATAAAAAGTTGTAAAAATCGAAAATAATAAAATTGGTATCGTCCCAGAAAAAATTTAGCACCCTGTATAAATTAAATTACAACATTAAAAAATATGTATTAATTCAAATATTTTTGTTCCCTACAAATTTTTCATGACTACAGTTGTTTCTGAGATAGGCATATGGGTTATCTTACGTGGTTCACCCTGTACTTAGCTTCTTTTAATCCTAACTAATGGTTAAATTTATTAAAAATTATCTTTTTGTATAACAAAAAAGCATTTTCAATATGTTTTTCAACAAAAATATTTTTGGTCACCTAATCACTCTGTTTACCACATAGTGCGACGTTTTCCACGTGAAAGGGCTCCTGACAAAAACTGTCGGTGCACATTTCGCTCGTGAGGTCAAGCAACACTTGGATGAAATGTTCAGAGCGTTGAATTGGTCGCGGAGGTCCAATTAGTTGGCCTCCAAAAAGTCCAGATCTAACACCACTAGATTTTTGTTTATGGGGTTGGTTTAAAATAGAAGTTTTCAAAGTTAAAGTGAATAATCGAGAGGCAGTAATTCAACGAATAATTAATACTGGCTCAGTTCTTAAAGAAAAACAAGACTTAATAGGGCAAGCAACAGGCGCTGTTCGCAGACATAGCAGAGCTTGTTTAGAACTCAATGTGGGTATTTTTGAACACCTTATAAAAAGTCATAACTATTAAACAAATGTTACCGTTTTATTTTATTTATTTTTTAATTACGCTATAACTTCAAAACATATGAGAATCGAATAAGAACATTTTAGTTTTTTTTAATTATTTTAATGTGTAGAATGCAGTCCTAGAGTTCGGTGCGATCCTTCCGATTCACCGTGTATATTATACCACATTATTAAATTAATAAACTTAATTTTGATATTTGAGTTGGGTACATAACATTACATGTTTGGCGCGAGACTTGAATAGTGTAAACATTTGGTCTTTACAATGCGAGTGTCTTGCAATTCGCGAACCTTTCGGCTTTAATAAAATAATAAGCTGTATCATTTTATCATTTTATATATTTTCGTTTAGCCATTTAAATAATGTTGAGTTTCAATTTTGTTTCGTTTATGCGCCATAAGCAGGTGAGACTTAAGGGAACCTTTTCTCTTTGTCATAAAAATGCATCCTTTAAGGGGGCAGGCGAATTTTGCTTCTTTTCCACATTCAAATCTTGTATGATTATAAAGTGATGTTTTGTGCCTGTATACTCTATTGCAAAGTAGACAAGGAAAACCTAAAATGTTTTTATTGTTTCAATAGTTAACAAACAACCAATATTTCTAAAGATTTAATGTTAAAAAGGATTTAATGAGTTAAACTTAAATGTGCATTTATTAAAATCATATTGTGTATTTGCGTCAAAACATTTTATATTAATTAAATAAAATTATACTTTTTATACATTTTGATTGTGCCTTATAACACAATGTCTTGTAAGAACATGTTTATATTTAAATTTTAAAAAACAAATACTACATTTGTACTCTGGATTTTTTCCACATTCAACTGTCATGTGTCTTTTAAGATTTCCTTTTCTGTTGTAAGATCTGTCACACCGGGGACATTGGAATATAGCTAAAATGCAAATTTATTAATAAAGATTAAGAAAAAGTGTTTTAATGTACACATGTAATGTACATTAAGAATGATAGGGACATTTTACGTACCCATGTTTATTATTTTTATAGGACCGTTCGTATACATTCGGCAGTCCCAAATTGAACCCTAATATTATTTTATATTTTTTTTCTATGGTAATATTATTAAAATTAAAAAGTTAGTGTTATGTTATTTAAACTTAAAGGTCCTCCATCTAGACTAAATATAATACATCTAATACTTTTTTTAATCCTTATTTAAACTTTATTGTTGTCAACACTTTCTACTAAAGTGATTCATTATGGCATAAGCACTTAAAATTTATTTAGACCAATCGGGTTAGGTTATTTATGACCTAGGCTGTAAAAATGTATTGTTCACTACTTTGGACCAATCAAAAGATTCTACTTCTGTCAAATCGATCTAACCCAATTTTCTACTTTTAATAATAGTTCGTTTAAGAAATAAAATTGTGCCAGAGATAAAGTGTAAGAAAAAATTGAACTTACAACTCGCCAAAGTTTTTTGTTTATATTGGGTCTCATCAGTGTAGTGGAACACACCCAAAACAAAGGACCTGAGCTTATATGCTCGGTTGGTAAGCCAACAGAGGCGAGATGTAAGAAAATCAGGTGATCCACACCGTCTAACGACGTGCTCCGGTACATACTATGCAACCAAGACTGCACACAGCAAATTGTATCACAGATACTAATATGGCCTAAAGGAATCTAGAATTATTAATTGTTTTTTGTGCTTTACTCAATTGATCTCATCAAAAAAAGACGTCTTGGCCTAAGACACAAATAACTATTATAACCAAATTTAAAGTAAATTTTGGCCTGCCGTTTTCATACGAACGTTAATTAATAATAAATGATATGTCCCATGCAATCTCTATAAAATAAATATAATGTAAGCAGGAAAAAGTAAGTTCCTAGTATATGCCCAATGGTTTTTTTGTAAATGGCGTCTAAAGATACGAATGACGATATTTTTATTTTACAAATCCCATATAATTTTGCAGTGTCACATTTTGCAAAATATTGAACCATTAAAAAACTATTATTTATGAAAGTTTATTAAAATTGTAGGTCTGAGGTAGGTATTTTATGATTTTCCAATCCATGTATATTTTGAGAATAAAATTCCCCTTAAGGTTCGTACGTTATCAATGAATTTTTATTTTATTTAAAATGTAATATTATAGATATAGTTATTTGGTTTAGTTGAACTAAAACAAAAACTTTAATTTCAAATGACATGGTAAACATGTATGCATAATATTATATATTAGAGTGTTTGTTTTATTACCGCAGCAAAAAATTGACTTTGATTTTAAAGTTTTTCATTGAAATAACAGGATTTTGTTTTCAATTCCCTATAACTCAGCGGCGTTTTACGCTTCTAAAATTTACGTAGGTGCGATTTGTAGATTAGATAGACATAGACCTTTGAATAAATTTTACTGTAAAACATTGTAAACAACATACTTAAGACTACGCTCTCTTAAAATAAATTAGTCAAAAATAACTAATTATAAGTGACTAATTGTCATAGCGAAAAAGCAGTCACTAATAATTAGTCAAATTCTATGAATGAAATAGTCAAATTAGTAGGTTTAAATTTAAAAAAGTTTTACCCAGCCGGGGATTGAACTCAGGTCTGTTACTTGTCAAGCTGTTGTCATAACCAATGTGGCTATCAGTCGCTCTTATTAAAATCAACTTTATTTGTCAAAAAATATTGGTCATAATATTTATGTTGCTGTTTTGAGCTAAACTTTTTGCAACTTTGTTTTTATGGGCCATTTAACCCTGGAGCCTATATACATTTAATTCAAATAATACTTTGTTGTTGGCCGAAAACGATTAAAGAAATTGGTTACTTTTAACTCTCAGAAATAGTCAAAGATGGCGACTAATCTTAAATTAGTAAAACTAAATATTTACGTAGTAAAAAATAACTATTTAAAAGTGAAAACGACTATTTTATTAGTAAAAAATGCTTGTACTAATTCAAATAGTAGAATTTTGACTATTTCATTTTAAGAGAGCGGAGAAACGCTTAACAAATTAAATTTCCCACAAAAAATGTACTTTAAATTAATACAATTAAGTAAATAGTTTAAAAGATATAGAGCATTTAATAAATTTAACTGTTAAATTTTGATAAAATAAGAACTTATTACTATACTATACTATGTATAAAAAGTAAAATTTATTAAATGGTCTTTTTACTTTTTTATTTCAACTTTAACTGTTTTGCGGTAAAATGCATGATATGTATGAAATACTGTTTTATTTATTAAAAACATTACTTCGGTGACGTATAAAGTAGGGCGAAACATTTGTATATAAAAATGTATAGACTATTTTTGTTATTATAGATGATAAAAATGCTCAATAGCAAAAATATAATATAGAGGCTATATTATAGATAAAAGGAATTTAACAAAAATCTATCAGGTTCCACTTTTGCATAGAGGATTTGTAAAATATTTTTGTTTTGATATAAAAATTATAAATCAAAGGCAATTCTAAAAAAATAGTTATTTATGTATCAAGGCAGTAAAGTCTTATTTTTTATCACGAACGTACTTTGCCGGGGCGAAAGCCGAGGCAAATAACCACCTGAGTGATAAAAAATGACTTTAATGCCGAAGTGCATATTAAATTTTATCCGAAATCACATTTCTAATACTAATAATTAATATTGATCACTAAATCAAATGTCATTTGATGATCAAATCATATACTGTTTGTTGCGACGGTTATTATAAAGGGTGTCCAATTAGGTACGCTCGATGTTTGATAGGCGGCTATGGCTAAGTCAGTACAGACACAGCTGTCAAATATTTTGAAGTTTTGTTGGCATATAATGACATTTGATAATGGAGCGTTACACGGTTGCTCAACGCATTCAAATTTTTCAAATTTACCAATAAAATCAATGTTTAATTCGCCAAACGTTTCGAGCATTGCGTGCGATTTATGGTCAGCATGAACGTCCTGCAGAGTCAACTAATCGCCGCCTCATGAATAAATTTAGAACAACTGGTTCAGTGCGCGACCAAGCAACACCCATACGTCAACGAACGATCAGAACAATTGAAAATATTGCCGTTGTTCGTGAGCTTGCTTGAGAATCCGATTCGTCGACGTGCGCAAGAAGCTGGCATTTCGAAGAGTTCAACTTCGACTATTCTGCATCGGGACCTAAAATTTTATCCATACAAGATACAACTGCCGAATTTGGGGCGATCAGAACCCTCAAGTAACCCATTCTGGGCGGTTGGTGTTATTGGCCCGTACTTTTTTGAAGACGAACGTGGCGTGGCCAACGAGATCATGCGATCTAACGCCGCTGGACTTTTTTTTGTGGGGCTACGTAAAGTCCCTTGTGTACGTGAATAAGCCACAAACAATTGAAGCACTGAAGGCCAACATTAATCGTATAATAAATTAAATCGAACCCGAAATGTGCGAAAAAGTGATAGAAAATTTGACCTGCAGAATGCGCGCTGTGGAGCGCAGCCGCGGGGGCATTTAAAAGATGTTACTTTTCATAATTAATGCCATAGTATCTTCTTTTAAATAAATATATTTTTTTCCTAATATTTTAAGTGTAGTTTGTTTTATTTCATTTTAAAGTTAGAGCACTCTTAAGTGGACACCCTTTATATTTGCCCGGCGATTTTTTAATCTAATTAATAAAATTAACTTATTATTTTCATTAAACAACATATTATAAAATGGTCCAATCGACCTCCACGACTTTTTTTAAATATTATACATCTTAAAATGTATAATGAGTTACATACAATACTCGTATTAAATCGGTAGTAAAGTTCTACTTTACCGCCGATTTCTTTTAGTTTACTGCCGATTATTGACTACTTTGCCGATTTCGGATAAATAATATTATGTTGCACATGTCACGTCACGTCACTGCCCCAAAAGGGCAAGTCAAGAAACGGATTTGCACAGTGGGGCAAACAATTTGTGTAATGCGGTTTCCGAATTTTCAGCACAGTAAGTTTTAGCAGAGATACGGACGCATACGAACAAGAAGTACCTCAAGAAGATAGATAAGCTCCATGCTGAACCACAATTGAATGTTGGTGTTACTATATCTCTGGTCAAGGGGGATTCCGGATTGTACCCACAACGACAAAATTCCGAAAGGGTTTTAATAACCACCGACACTGTCGTCCATGATCTTCCAAGGAAGATTTACCAGCCGTGGTTAAACGTCGGATCCATCAAACACAGGTAATGATGTAGACATGTGCAGTTGCAGTATACGTAGGAGAACCGAAAGGAAGTAGAAAAAACTTTGGAAGACCGTAAGATGACGCTGATGGGGCCAGCTATACGTTCCTCATACTCGTACTCAAAACAAATAACTTACTTAAAACTTTAATATTACATTTTAAATAAAGTTTACTATTTATCGATAACGTAGGTAATTGTTTGTTGTTTTAAGTGTTCATAACCTAACCAATTCAAATATTGATTAGATAATTTATTTGGAAACACAATTTGAATTTGTATTTTTATGATTTTTAACTCTTAAATCTACAACTTTGACGGTTAACATAATTAAAACAACAAATATTATTTTAGTTTATTAAAACATTATAATACAGTAACTTTTTAAAATGTTCTTAAAATCTGTCAACAATTTTGATGTCAAATCTTCCCGGTACTTTAAGCACTTAATTTTTGTACTCTAAGCACTCTGTAGGTACTCGGTCGAGTGTACATTTTGTACATGTACTTGTACGCACAGCTTTGTAGCTAATCCACACTTAGAACTTCCAAATTAACACTGTTATCGTGGTTATGTACATTTTTTAAGTGTCGCTTCATATCAAACTTTCTTTTAAACGTAAGTGGGCATAACAAACATCTATGTTTAACATTTTTGTTGCAATCTTTACTTTTATGCGAATATAATGAACCCTGATTGTTGTATACTTTGTGACAATTTGAGCAAGGAAATAGACCTAAAACATAAAATACGTAAGCACATATTTTAATCTACACATTTTTTATTAAAAACAAATAGTTTACTTCATAATACACTTTATTTAAATTATTAAAAATCAAATATAATTAACAATAAATATTGGAAATAGTATGTAGGTACATTATTTAGTATGTGTTATCATATGTCGTTTCAAAGTAAATTTTCGTTTAAAGGATGCAAAACAAACGTGACAGTTATAAATTTCTTGATTTCCACAATCCTGCCTTACGTGAACTTTCCATATTTTTTCGTTTTTATAATATTTCTTGCAGTAAGGACATTGCACTTTTCCCTCTAAAAGTTTAGGTTTTTAGTAAACATTAATATTTCATTTCTATTAAAAATTTGCAACAATTTTAGTTTGAGTATAATCACTCGCGTAGCGACAAATTTTGGCCTCCCCGCGGAAAATTTTTTACAAAATGCGAAAGTAAATTTTTTGTAAATAAGGTTCTCCACTGTATCTACCTATAACACAGTTGTATGTTTTAAATAATACAAAAATTATACTTCAAAAAAATATTTTTTTACTGTCGCTACGCCACTGAGTATAATAATCTGAAACCAAATACAAGAATCTAAGATCATTTTTTAATAAATAAAGTAAAATTATTGTATTTTATCATAAATATATACCATTTAAACAGTTTAAACTTGATTATTAAACTTTTGCTTATTTAAATACTTTTTTATGTTGAGATTTAATAAGTCGCCACATTTTTACCCTGTCGACACGCATAATGTGGGTATTTTTTTTTTACTTAAAGGGCTGCAAGTTCCTTTAATATATATAAAAAACTAAAAACCTGTCAAAATCAAAAATCTTTATTACTTCGTTATTTCTGTAAATTTATAAAAAAAAGTAAGTTTTACATGTTAATATTCATATTTATCTGCATTTTTATCCAATTTCTTCGCTATTATATTTTGATTTACCATAATCATGTTTTGTTTCGTCGATAAATTACTTTATTTATTTAGTATCTAACCAAAATGGTGGTGGTAAGTAAAAATCCAGTAAGCTAGTAATATAGATAAATGCGTATGTTTAATACATTTGAAACTTAATTTTTCAAAATTTTCAGGAATGAAGAAGTTCTAACGACAGTTTTTTGTTTTCCAATTTTTAAATGCCATTTTATTAGACTTTTTGTTTATTTTTTTTGCAATTATTTCTTTTAACATGTTATTTATTATAATGTAATATTATCTTTTAAAAGTTTAATACAAAAGTAGAATTAACCCTTTGACGCCTGCTGGTTTGCGGTAAAACCACTTAGGTAATTAAATATTATTTCATAGCATAATTTTGGCTTTATTTTTATTACACGTGGCTACAAACTAAAACCTTGCCTATAGGACCCCTATTACCTAATAAAAATGTACCTATCTTTGAACAGACTTATGTTTTCGTTAAAGACAATTTTTGAGGCAGAGGCAGAGGCAAAAACCTTAAAATATAAAAATTCAAATCAAATCCGATCCAGCAATGTGGTGTTAAAAATATTTTAATTTAAGAATAATTAGTGCTCTAACATTACTATTTGATGCTTAACGTAATTATCAGTACTTTGGCAGCTAACACATTTTATTTTCCATGTATTAGCAAATTTATTTTTTAAGCGAATATATTCCAATGATTGAAAATAATTAGGCACGAAAACGGGGAAGGCATTATAATAAAATAAAAATAAAATTCCAATTAAAAATATATAAGAATTTTGTATTAAACTTTTTAAACTTATAAATAAATATTTGGCATTGTAGTATATATATATATACTACTATATATATATATATATATATATATATATATATATATATATTTATTTATAAGTTTAAAAAGTTTAATACAAAATTCTTATATTTTTTTAATTGGAATTTTATTTTTATTTTATTTTATATATACATACCTAAAGTATATAACAAAAATAAAAAAAACGAATACTATTCTAAATATTGCTTGTGCATTAGAAAGGTGTGACTTTTGAGATTACATTTTCTTTTAAAAACTTCAGAAATATATTTTTTCTGTTCCACAATCTTAATATAAATGGCTAACCATATGTTGCTTTTTGCACTTAGGGCAATTTTCTAAGGATTAATCCTTGACAATTGTTAGGTTTATTGAATTATTAAAACAATAATTTGTGCTAAAATTCCTTGTATATTCATTTTTACATATTTTAAATTTTTGCATGTCTTCTATAAATATGCGATTTCAGATGGCTTTTTTGTTTAGCCACATAATCACACATTTGGCAATAAAATGACCTGATTTTATTGCATTCGTATTTAATATGCCTAAATAGACTAGGATAGTGACTATAGGTTTTTCCACATGTCTTGCAGGTATATTTTTTATCTAAAAAATATAAATTTATAATATTAATTATATTAAAAAGCAGTATGTTTAACTAAATAATAATAGAAAAATTAACTAATCAACAAACGCTAATGAGCATAAAGTATCTATATTAAAAAGTATTTATACATTTTGGTTGTGCCTCATAACACAATGTCTTGTAAGTACATGTTTATATTTGAATTGTAGGAAACATATTTTACATTCGAAAAGCGGTCTTTTTCCACATTCAATCCTAAGATGCCGACTTAAATTTTGCTTTCTAGTGTATTTTCTGGGACATCGAGGACATCGAAATATAACTAAAACAAAACAAGTATTAAAATGGATAACAATTATATAAATTAACATACATTACCCAAAAAGTGCAGTTTTAAAAGAGTTGTGCTAAAAAATAGTTGGGCTTTTTAAATGAAATTTAAAATTATTTTTGACAGATTTATATATTTATAAAAGCACACAAATATTTTCAGTAAAAAATAAAAAATATATGTAGCGAATATAATGAAATTTAATTATTAAACTAAAGTGATTGTTTTAAATAGAAAATAAACCAATTTCACTGCCGTTAATTCTCCATAATATTAAAATTCCAAAAGTAGATTTTAATAAATGAAGTTTTAGCATAAAAAATAAAATATTATATATTTTTCAGTTTAATATGCGTAAAATTAAATATATTCTTAAAACAAACGGAAAAATATCAATTACCACCCTAAAATTTCACATTTTTTAAATAGTTTTTAACAACTTTTCAGAGGAGCTTTGTAAAGAATAGTGACTATACTATTTTAAAGAAGTAATAAACTCAAAATTATAAGTTTATTACTTATTGACTTACGTTTAAAATAGTATAGTAAATAATTAATTTGGGGTTTGCTAAAATTTTTTAAGATAGTTCTAAATCGGTTCAAAATAAATAAAAAAAGGTTCTTATGATAATATTAACTTGCCACCAAGAAAGTCAAAGTTTTTAATTGAAAAATTTGACACAAATATAGTTACTTGATGTATCAAGGAGTGCATTAAAATATGTTTAAACTTTCTTACTTCTAGACAAATTCTTCTTTTTTAGAGTGCTCAGTTAAATTAGCATATTACCATACAAAATATTTATGTCTAGAAGTAATAAAATAGCCAGCTAAAAATTTTTCCTATGCACCCTTTGATACATCATATAAGTGTTTTCCATTAAAACGTTGACTGCCGTGGGGGCCAGGTTAATATTAATAATAAAAGCTAAACTTTGCAGTTTTTTTAATTTATTTTACACGGATTTAAAGCTATCGTAAAAAAATACCCCAGGTGAAGTTGGTACTTATTTTAAAAGTTTTAACCATAGCTTAAGCTAAATTTTAATTAATTTAGGATTTAAACTATGTTAAGGATTAAAATTGCTTTTTAATTTTTCTGTATACTAAGCAGATAGAAAATACAAAACAAAAATGGCCAATTAAAATTTCAGGGTGGTACTTTATTTTAATATTTAGTTTGTTTAAATGTGCTTACCATAATAGTTTACATTTATATATTATTTATTTTGACTAAATATAAATAATTTTAATATTATGGCACACCTTATATTTCTAAAATAGAATTATAATAAAAAACATTCGATTTATGGCATTAAATAATCACTAATAGAGACTAGACAATATTAGAGTTAAGATAGTATAAATAGAATAATATTGGTATTTGACTAGACATTATTGTGACATTGTTACAAAATTTGTATTTAAAACTAAGTTTAGAGGCAAGAATAGACTAGAAAAAAATATTATAAATATTAGGATTAAAATTAACATTCATCGGTACTATCTGCAAGAAAGTACTTGACTAACCCTATGACGAAACTATTGTGTTTTACACTATTTTATAATAATAATAATGTCTTTGATGACCAGCCTTAACTAGAATAATATTTTTATAGTAAACTTTTTGTTTTAGACTAGATTGGTTATTATTAACATACGTACTAGTAATTTTTACAATTACTATATTACGTTGTTATAAGTGTGAGTTAAAGTGATTTAGAACATGTATTTAGTTAAAACTCAAATAACTACCCTTCAGAAGTTTGGCTTGTTTTAAAATCATATATCTATAGTTAGTAGATATATGTTAAAAACTAGTTCGTATACTAATTGAGGGTTCTTCAACGGGAACATAACTTGAATTAAATGGTTAAAAAATATCATTGTTCTTTGGAGTAAATACTGTTTTATGACAATGGATGTGTATTTATTAAAGAACATTTCCAAAGTTTTGAAACACAAGCACAAAAATCATCTTAAAACACTCTGTGACGATTCAACGACTCAAGGAAGAAATCGTTTTAAAATAATGGCTATTTATACCTAATTAAAAAGTTTTGGTTTTCCCTTTATGCGTAAAATTTTTTAAACATTTGTGACTAGATTTACTTGTCCACCTTTATTTCAGTAATCTCAGGAGGCGAGTCATGTACATGTCTCTGTCTTAATTTCTGAATATAGACGTTGTGAGTGTGGCGCATATGTTTTAGAAGTATGTATCCATGTTTAAACTTCTTGGAGCAGATTTGACAGGTAAATGAAGGTTTTTGACCGCAGTCAAATCTTAGATGACGACCGAGCGTTTTCTTCTGCAGATAAGTTTTTTTGCATCGTGAACAGCCGTAACGCACACCTTTGGTGTACACCTTAAGGCTGGTGTACTCTTCGAAGGTTGAAGCGTAAAGTATTACGCCTAAAAATAATTTATAATTAGTAATTAATATGTTACAAAACTTACAAATTAAGAATACTCACACAAAAAATAATCTACAAAAATAAAAAAACAAGCTTTGCAAACCAGCACAATGATAATAATTTTTCATTAAAATAAAACAATGTATTAACAAACTTATTTATTAACATTTAAAACATTTGATGTTTAATATTTTTATGTACAGTACTAACATGTAATTTTAGATTAAATTTTCTATGTGATTTATGTGTACAAAATGGGCAATGAAATAAAGGTTCTTTGCCACATTCTCTTAAATGTACTCTAAGATTTCCACGTTGTCTATATGTTTTGCCACAATTGTTGCATACATATTTGCTACCTAAAAATAAATTATTGATAATTATAATTAAAGTAACACAACTTAATTTTGAATGCGGAAATTAAATAAATATTTCCTATATTAATATACATATCGATATATTTATAAAATACCATAACATAATATATTTTTTTATAAAACATAATACAAGTAAGTAATATTTATATTTATGCAATTTTCCACAAAATCTAACATTAACATATCAAACTAAAATAAATAATTAATATAGATTCTTTAAAATTATGGTCAACAGCAATTTTGTTGCAGGGTAGACAACAACTTTTCTAGGAAAATTTGGGTAAGCTGAATCTAAGAAATAAATCTGTGCAATCAGCTTTTCTTTCTCCCAATTTTAAGAGAAAAAAACGGATATATATATTATATAAATGTCAGTTAAATTAGAGAAAAGTTAATTAAATAAAAAAACAAAAAATGTTTTAAAACCAAAAATTCTCGTTATTCCTGGGAATTAAAAAAAGGTAAGTTTTAAACGTACACATTTATCTACATTTTTATCCAATTTGTAATTTTTTGTAATTTTTTTTTACCTACTAGATTTTAAGTTACAAGCACCATCTTTTGTTTTTCTTATGGTCACATTGGAATTTTACACGGTTAGAAAAAAAAGTCAAGAAATTCAACGGTATATCAAACTTCAAGTTATGGGGTCCATTATAAAAACAAAAGATGGTGATGGTACCTCAAAATAAAGTAGAAAAAAATTGGATGAAAATGTAGATTAATACATGTAAAACTTATTTTTTTTTAAATTCCCAGGAATAACAAGGTTATAGCGATTTTTGGTTTAAAAAGGATTTTACACAATTTTTATCTAATTTAACCGATGTGTAGCTTTAGAAATAAAAATATAACCATACAAATATGTATGCACCCCAAGGAATAAATATACATACAGGGTGTCCTGAAATTAGTGCACCATACTTTAACAGCAGATTCTACGTGCAAAAATAAGAAAAAAGTCCCTATAAATATAGGTCGAGAAATGCCTCCTAAGGGAGCTACAGCCCCCGAAAAGGGAGCCCCTGAAGATGGTTTTTATCTAATATAAATAAAAAAGTAAAAACACCCTGTCACTTACTACATGAAACTGTCACCTGTCTTAAATTATTCTATTTTTTCCTAAACATGGCAGCCGTATTCCAAGGACCACGCGAGTCCATTTCTATGGTTGTGATTTAATTGTGAATTTTTATGCCATGTAAAATAATTTTCAAATCGATTTTATGCGAAAACGGTGTATGTTATCGTAGTTCAACAAGATGACCTTTTTTATGTGCAAAACTCTAAAATTTTATAATCTGACACCAAATTCTGGTACAAGATACGTACAAAAAAGTTAAGGTGGTTTTAACCCTACTTCCTATCAATCTGACCGAAACCACATAAAAAATTTTAAATTGTTATTGTTACGTCTTATTGGTCATAAAAAGTTTAATTAATTCCCCAAATTTCATTTTTATATTTTTAACGGTTTTGGAGATATTAAATAAAAACCATCTTCAGCGGCTTTCCTTTTGGGGGCTGTAGCTTCCTTAAGAGGCATTTCTTGACCTTTGTTTATAGGGACTTTTTTTCTTATTTTTGCCCGTACAATCTGCTGTTAAAGTATGGTGCACTAATTTCAGGACACCCTGTATAATAATATATAATTTAATTTTTTCAGTTTAATTTAGACCCACTGATACCATCAAAACACGAAGAGCAGCTGTTACAAACTTAAACAAATCTGTGGGTAAAAGGCATAAGGGGATAAGTCAAAAAAAGCAATTTTTCAATAGACTTTAACGTGTTCGCATTAATTCAGGAAATATATTTATGTTTAGCGGGTATACGCTTTTATTAGCATATGACATGTACTAACAAAACGGTATACCCGCTAACCGTAAATAAGTTTCCTGAATTAATGCGAATACGTTTAAGGCTCTACTGAAAAATTGCTTTTTTTTACTTATCCCCTTATGCCTTTTACCCACAGAAATATCAGTGATTTTACAAAGTCGATACTTTTTATTTATTGTTGTATAACATGTATATAGCGATATAACTAAAGAAATATATCTGTATTATTTTTTTTAGTTAAAAAATATACTGTTTTTTGAGTTTCACGAATTTATTTTAATTAAATTTGATAATTGTGTCGCTAATACAGTAGCTTCTTCAGAAATGATTTCAAACTTTATCTAATAACAAACTTATATAATACTATTATTGCAGGTTGTTTTAAAAAATATTTGTGCAGTATGACAATTTTACCTGTCGTGTTAAAATTAGGTTTAATTATAAGTCATATATAATTGGGGTACTATACAGGCCACCAAATAAAAAAATACCTAATTTTATTGAATCGTTAGACAATGCTATATCTGACTTCTTGCCCGAATGTGATGAAATTATTTGTGGGGGTGATGTTAATATAGATTTGTTACAGTCTGAACATCAATCAACCTTGACATTTTTAAACTGTATTGATTCTTTTAATCTTAAACAAATTGTTGACTCTCCTACTAGAATAACTAAAAATTCAGCAAGTCTCATAGACATTATTTTAGTATATAATCACAACGAATCATACATTACTGGTACAGAAGAAATATATAATGTTTCAGATCACATGTTAGTTTATTGTAATATAAATTATGTTCAACCAAAAGTTAGTCCTAAATATATTCAGTGCAGAAGCTTGAAATACCTCGACCATAATTTGCTTTCAAATTTTCTGGAAACTGCTCCCTTCTATAATATCTTACTTATTGATAATATATGTGATAAGGTACAATTTTTTAATGCAATAATTATGAATATTTTTGATATATTAGCGCCTGTCAAAAAAGTAATAATTAAAAAGCAAAATCCTCCTTGGCTAACTGACAATATTAAATTAATGATGTCCTTGCGTGATAAAGCCCTTGCAAAATTTAAACGTACCAAACATGAAGAACATTGGAATTATTATAAACAGATTAAAAACCAACTAACATCGGCAATAAAAAACGAAAAAAAAGCATATTTGGAGTATTGTGCAAATAATTATCGTAACAACAGCCGGGTCCTTTGGAATAAGTTAGGCGATTTAAATATTCACAATAAACCTAAATCTAAAACCCTACCAGATAATTTAAATAAACCTGAGGAAATAAATAATCATTTATCGCAATACTCCAAATATACACGTCCAAATTTAGATCTTTTAAGTTATTACAACGCAAATTTAAAGCAAAATTTTGTAGAATTATATAGTTTTTCCCTAACAACTGAAGATGAAATTAAAACTTGTATAAATAATATTACCACAAAATCGGTTGGATCTGATAAGTTGAGTATTGACATGATTAAATTGTGCCTGTCAACTATATTGCCTTATTTAACACACATAATAAATTCATGTCTTCTTGAAAGTTATTTTCCTGACCAATGGAAGGAATCCAGAGTAGTTCCATTGCCAAAGAAAACAGAAATAACGAATTTTAATGAGCTGCGTCCTATTTCCATTTTACCGGTACTTTCAAAGGTATTGGAAAAAATAATGAATATCCAAATTCGTAAACATCTAAATACATTTAATATACTACCGGCTTCCAATCAGGGTTTCGCCAAGGATACAGTTGCACAACTGCCCTCCTAGACGTAGTCGATGATATCATAAGAGATATTGATAAAGGTAAAACTGTTTGTCTAATTCTTCTGGATTACTCAAAGGCATTTGATACCATTAGCCACGAAATATTATATTCCATCTTGCATTATATTGGATTCTCTTATTCCTCCATTAATCTAATAAAAAGTTACTTAACTAACAGAGTCCAATATGTGCAAACTGACAAGGGTCAATCCAGAAAAACTCAAATAAAATGAAGTGTGCCTAAAGGGTCTATTCTGGGTCCATTACTTTTTAGTATATATACTTGCGAATTAACTAAATGTTTAAAATTCTGCAAAGCATTTTTATACGCAGATGATACACAGTTAATGTATTCTTTCGAACCAGACAACTTATTGTTGGCCAACTCTCGCATAAATGACGACCTAAACGCATTAGTCAAACTATCCAACAATCACCAGTTATGTATAAATTCACTAAAATCCTCAGTTCTTATATTTGGTAGGCAAAAACACTTAATCTCAAACTTGATTAAAATACAAATCGATGGAAATGATCTGACAACCAGTAAGGTGGCTAAGAACCTGGGTATCGAAATTGACTGTAATTTACGATTTGACAATTATGTTACTAATTGTCTAAAAAAGGCTTACAGTGCATTAAAAATTCTTTATCCTCACCGCCAAATATTATCACAAGAGCTTAAAATTAGATTAACTGACACTTTGGTTCTTAGCTACTTCAATTATGGTGATGTACTGTATGGTCCCTGTATAGATAAAAGAAATGTAAATCGTATACAGTACATTCAGAAATCATGTTTAAGATATATTTATGGTATAAGGAAATTTAATGCAGTATCTTACAAATTGTTAGACGCAAAATGGCTAAATATGGAAGAAAGACGAACACTTCATTCGGCAACACTGTTTCACTCCATAATAACAAGTAAAACACCACCATACTTACATAGGAAAATTCAATACCGTACCGATGTTCACAGCTTAAATTTAAGATTCAAAGGCCTAATATCACCACCTGCTCATACAACTGCAATATTTAGACGATCCTTTTCATATAACGTTTATGCCATATACAATGACCTACCCGCACATCTTAAGACTCGGAAATTAAAACCTTTTAAATCTGCTTTAAAAAGGTTGATACTTAACAAGCTTTTGTAAAAACCACTATTTCCTGAAAAACCACTTTGTCGTTAAAACCTCTTTCTACATTAATTTTTATTTTAAAATAGTCATGGACCTATATTAATTTTGTTTATTTTGTTTTTAAATTTGTTTTGGGCTGGAATTACAATCAGATTAGTCTGCCTTCCAGTCCATTTTGTTGTATCAGATTAGTTTTGTATATTTCTCTTTATACTTTTAAAATGAAATGTATTATGTTTCTTTACAACAAATAAATTATTATTATTATTATTATTATTATTATTATTATTATTATTATTATTATTATTATTATTATTATTATTATTATTATTATTATTATTAAGTACCAGCAGTTGTAATAAAATAACTTTTGGGTGATTTTCTATCTTATATAATATAAGAACAAATTTAACAAAGGAGAATTTTGAATTTTTAAATTATTGTTAAACGAGTGGTTTTCTTATATAAAATGGATGGCATAAGTTGAATCTGTTTTTTGATTAATATAAGATTTTTTATGTTCATTAACTCATTTTGGACAGTCTGCACATTGTAGTTGGTAAACTTTGGATTTCGTATCTTTCTTAGGTTTTTCTTTGTTGATTTTTTACAAATGTACTTAAATTGTTGTTGGTTTTAAATGCAATATAATTAATATTCTTTATGAAGAAATTCGTCACATGTCTTGTCTTAGTGTCTTTTGTATTGGAAAGACTTGATTCATAGCCATTTTCGTTTTTTGTGACATATACAAAGTCACAAAAAACGAAAATGGCTATATATATTATTAATTCATAGTGCGCTATAACCATCGTTAGGTGCAATTTGTTTGATTAAATTTAATTCATCATGAAAATGATTCTGTTATAGATACGTTTACATGTACATAATTAAAATAAATTCATAAAACTAAAAAAACAGTGTTTGTTTTTTTTATCTATTTATACAATAGTGACATGGAGTTTCATCAAGTAAAGGCCACATTTAAATATTTGCCTTCACGAAAAAAAAAGAATACCCAAATTACCCTGCAGCAAAATTGTAGCAAAAAATCCAAGTAATAGCTTAAAAATACGGTCCATTTTATAATTATAATCTACAAAGTGATAACGTTGGGTGTAACCTAAAATTTAAAATATAGTTATAAAATTGTTTAACCATTTTTTTCTTATTAGGTATTACCTTTCTTCTTTTTAATCTTTGGGTGGATAACCTAAACCATTCACCCATCATTTTCTTTAGTTCAAAACTATTTGAACTAAATTTATTAATCATAGTTTCTAAAAAAAATTTTAGCTAAGCAAATATAACTTTTTTAAAGTTGTATATTACCTTCAAAAGTTTTAATGAAATAAAAATCCTCCAGTTTGTAATTTCCTCTGTGTCCAACAATTGAACAATTTCTCGCCAATTCATCTGTAAACATTGATGCCAAACATCTATAAATACAATCTTTTACATCTCTTCCTCCCATGCTATTTATATAATATATCTAAAAGAGATACTAAATAGCTATTCTTCACCTATTGCTATAAACTTACATATGATGTTTTAAAAACTTCCTCCCTGGATTCAATATTAAATAATTGTACATCGTCAATAGTCCTGAGTGGCAACTTTTTACGCACAATTTCAATATCAGTCGTTGGGCCAAAACTTGAAAGATTGAGTGATTGTTCCTGGAAGTTGTTTTCCACGTTTACAACGGATTTTTCAATTTTTCTTAACATATTTGCCATTACATCTAAAACAAATTAAATAAAATATTGTTTTATAAATTTATTTATATTACTTATACATACCTAGTTTAATGGACAAGTCTTTTATAGTTGGTTCAGAGTTTGGACCACACCATTTTGGTCCGTATTCTTTTTTTTGTGGATCTAAAAAATAAACGTTTTAGTATCGACCTGTACTTTATATTTACAGCGTGTTAAAAGCCTTAGTACCTTCACCTATAAATATAATTAGTACAAATAAAATACAAAATAATTAACTTAATAATATGTATAATTATTGATCTCATTGAAAGGAACATGTTCAACATTCATTTTGAGCAGTAAATAATGGTTTATTTAACACCCTGTTCATTTCTTTACTTAAAAAAAATGTAGTTAAATGTTTACATGTAAAACTTTTTCCAAATTTCCATGAAAACAAAGTTATAAAGATTTTTGGTTTTAAGAGATTTTCAGTTTTTTTTTTCATTGTATAAGAACCGCTCATTTTTGTCCAATTATCAAATTCCATTTTAATACACTTGTAATAATGCAACTTTTGTCTAACTTAATCGAGCTCTTCAAATAAAAAGATATCCATACACAGATGGATACTTGGTGCACCCTTGAGTATGAGTATAAAAGACGTATAACCGGCCCCATTGTCTCATCGCTCCCGGGCCCCGCATAGGCCTCTGTTTCCTTGCGCCGATTTTCTTTCGCCACCAGCAACGGCGCGACTTCACCCGTGTTTGCTGGTTGCGAATGTCCATTGCGTCCCGTACTGTCCCCTAATTAGGGCTCGAGAGCGAAATGCCAATAGTTTTAGTAGCCATTCCCGGGTTCGCCGAGCCGATGCTATACGTCCAGTAGGGTAATGAAGGAGGTAGGACAGGAGGGATAGACAGTTTGATGTTTGGAGGACAATTACGCCGACTTAAATCTAAGTACGACGCGAAACCCCCCTAGACCAGGCAGTTGTTCCTGCACATGTGTCTTCAGTCTTAAGGCCGTAAACCATCAATAGATAGTTCAGTACCTGGATATGTAACTTTGATGTTTTTTTTAAGTTGTTTATTGCCGCAGTAGTGCGAAATTTCTAACAATTTTTTTTTAGTTATTGTGTTGCCCAAGCACGTTTCGTGGTAGAGTTTTGTCTTTTTTTCTCAAATTCCAAAATTAAGTATTGCATTTATTTATTAGTTAAACAAATGACAAGCGCAATTATTCTGTTGTAATCTAATGTTTACAAATCCAATAGAGTTTGATTATTATGCTGTTTTTAATGATAATGATTAATGTGTTAGTTTATTCTGTGTGTCTAATGTTTATTATTGGTCTCGTTTGGGTTTGCCTTACGCATTTGTTGTTGACACATTTATTGTCCTACACAGCTTTGGTGTATCACCGTTCGATTGGGAAGGTTTGTCTTTTTTCTTTATTATTTTATGGTGTTTGGTTAGTATTGTCTTTCTAATGTTTCTATTGGGGTTTTAAAGATATCTGTCATGTTTAATTATGTGTTAGGTCATGCATATGCTTTATGATACTTATTAATTTTTTGCGGATGGCCACTTCCCCTCTTGTTTGACCTCTTTTTGTCTAGTGCAAAGCGTCCAATGACAGGTGGTATACATATAGGACCAGAAGCTGAAACTTGAGACTTAACTCATTCATATCACTTAACACTTCACTCTTTATTGACCGTTACACTATTTTAGTTTGCACTTTATGAAAATTGTTTGTTTTAGTATAATTGGTTTGCACTTTTTAAAAAATTATTTTTTGGTTTCTTTAAACTTTTACGTTTTAAGAGCTCTCGCTACAGTGCGTCGTGCCTTGTCAAGTTCTGGAACCTGACTGAGATGGATACTTGGTTACAAAAAATAATAATAATAAATATTTTTAGTATCAATAACACTATGAATAATTTAAATAGTTTATTATTTATAACCATGTTTAAATAAAAAAAGGTTAAAACAGCAATAATTGTTTTTAAAAACACACAAATAACATTAAAACATGTTTTTATAAACCCTTTTTACAACATATTTTTATTCATTTAATTTTGAACCTAATAAAGATTGGTATATGGTTACGTGGACAGTTTGTGTGTGTCTTGTCATTGAACTTTTGTACATCTATAAACCGCTTCCCTTTGACATTCGTATTTTAAATGGCGCGCCAAACTGTAGTGGGTTTTGTAATTTGAACCTAAAAACATGTTTATATTTCTATAAATGTTAAAATTTAGGCATAGTGTAGCAACTAACTGTCCAAGTATTTTTTTTGACAATACCTAAAAAGCTTTTTAAACAAAAAATCATAAATTTTCTTTCTTAATAAAATTTAGCCCCATAGGGAACCATTCCACATTTTTTATAGTAGAATAACCCAAAAAATATATGATGATGATTTAATATATAAGACTGAACCAAATATTAAACATTTATTATTAATCAAAAAAATATTTTTAAATTTATGTCAAAATTATCACAAAATAAAACAAAATAATTACAAAATACAAACAATATTAAAATATACATAACTAGATTATTACATTAAATTTTATAGAAAGTGCCACTCACATTCACAAATTATACAGCACAATAAAACATTAAAAAACATATTTAAGTTTTGAGAATTACATTAAATACTGAAACTAATGCTTGAATAGTTTTTTTTTTGATTTCCAAGTTTATTACTTTATTTTTTTTTGTACTACAAATTATTAAATAATGGTAAAAATTAGATAGCAGTCTTTTTTTACTTTCAGGTAAACTTAGTTTAATTTTAACTTTAGAGTCTTTATTAGAGGTAGATTAAAATTAGAAACTAGTGAACACATTGCTCTTAACTAGTTTAAATACTAAATATTTAATGATATGACAAGAAAGGTATTTAAATGGCAGTGGAACAAAATTAATAGTCCAGTCAAACAATGTTATATTTTGATAGTGTGTTAAATTATTTTATGCTTTGAATTTGATTTTTAAAATTCCAATGTTCAAAACAAATAGGATTTGACTGAACTATTTTACTTAACCTAGAAATACGAATGTCTTTGCTTTGCTTTTCATTGCTACCAAATTTGATTTTTTTGTACTTTTTAATGATTTAGTAAATGTTTTATTAAGTCTTCTCGACATTCAGTCATAAAATCACAGTTTTTTGATAAACATTTGAATTTTCTTTGGTGATTGATTAGATTTTTCCTTAATTGTTCAGGTTTTTCTTTAATTTTTTTAGGGGGTTGAGCAAAATTATTTCGTACGATTATACCTACAATTAAATATTTATTAGATACAACAAAATGTAAATAAAACGAACACTTTTACATTTGACACTCACAAAATGACAATCATGCAACCATAACTGTAATAGTATATTATGCGACTAGTGGGAAAAAAGGAGATTCCTCGAGCAGGAGCATAGTGAAGCAAGTTGAATCTCTTTTGATCAATAGTCGCACACAATATTTTATCCAACAACCACTAAAAATTTAAAGCCAATTTTATTTGACATCTCACATCTGTTAACCTCACTTTTTTCCAATTTTAACTTTTAAGTTAAAAAGCTTTAAAAAGCTAACCAGCCCGTGGGCGAAATTTTTTCCACTGGTTTAAGTTCAGAAATAAAATGTTTGTTGAATAAGTATATATTTTTAAAGGTAACATAAACTATATTTAAATGTAAACATTTTATTTCTTAGTGCTGTTAATAGCAATTTAAATACATGTTTTTTTTTTTAAATATTATGCATAGTCCAGGAAACAAAGATTGTAGAAGGAAAACTCGATGGTAGTCGGGTTTTATTTTTTTTATGTAGAGTCAGGGATGCTTATAATGAATCAATAATATTCCCCCAAAAATTTATTTCCGTGTCCCCTAATTTCATTCCCTTTTTGGCTCATAACTCGCTAACCGTGCATTTTTTCAGAATTTAACCCCTAATACTTTTGAATATGTAGATACTAAATAAGGCACAGGTTAACCCACATTGCGCACCTATATGATGTGCCCTTTTGCTATTCGGTTATGTTTGATTGCCGTAAGGTTTGGGATAGATTACTTTTAAAATTGGGCTATAATAAAAAAAAACTAGAAAGTGATTTTGAAAGCAACGCTCAACTTTGCACACTGCGCATAGCAAAAGGGCACATCAAATAGGTGCGCAACGGGGTTTAACGTGTGCCTTATTTAGTACATAATCAAAAGTATTAAAGGACAAATTCTGAAAAAATGCACGGTTAGTGAGTTATGAGCCAAAAAGCAAAAAAACTCCCCTTTCGAGGGATGAAATTAGAGGACGCGGAAAGAAATTTTTGGGAAATACCATCGAGTTTTCCTTCTACAATCTTTGTTTCCTGGACTAATATGGTTAATTGGCGTTTGATCTTTCTTTAATGTGGTTTAATTTTTAATAAAAATATATTGATAAAACCACATTTATTGTTAAAAGTGTACATTAAACCTTAAACTATACAATAAATAGAAACATATTTAAACTTGGATTTTTGGTGGGTCGCACACATACTCGTAGTAAAAAATATTTAGAGAATACTTAAAATACTATAATACTTATGATTAAAACACATAGTTCTTATTTGATTTAAAGTTCTTCGACAAGCTAAAAGTGTAAAAAGCACCTCTCTGAAATATTTATCTCATTTTTTATAACTTTATGTTTAATGTACAAATGACTTTTAAGATTTCCTTTTTGAAATGATTTGTAACCACAATTATCGAAATAACATTTAAATAAAGGCTCCTTTCCACAGTCGTATCGCACATGCCTAATAAATGAAGCCTTAGCCCTATATATTCTCCCACAATTGCATTTATAACCTAAAAAAGTATTATAGGGATAGTATAAAGGATTTATTTTATTATCAATACCTACTTTTTACGTACTTTCCAAATTTGTTAAATCCAAAGGAAAGTCCTAAAAAATAAATGTAATTAATAATTTTATTGAAGTTATAAAAATATTACTATGGTACCTACTATATTTTCATGCGATTGTAATATTTCTTAAAAAAACTGATAATTTAATAATTTATTAAAACGTATAAAAATGACAATTAAAGATTGTTTTGTGTTTTTTCGACAAGAAAATAAAGAATGGCCTCGGTCGATAAAACAGCATACTACCTTACCATTTT